AGCCAGCAGGTCGTTATCTCCCGAGGGGTCCCAGGCTGCGAGAGGGGCACAGGCTGGCTGAGGGAACCCCCCCTCCCCCGAGTGCACAAATTTTTGTGCACCGGGCCTCTAGTATATATATATTCACAAATATATATGCATATATATACACACATATATATACATATATATGTATTAACAAAGTAAATACAAAGTTAAAAATAGTTTTCTAAGAACATCACATTAATATCGGAGGAAAATCTTAAGGTATCACTTGAAATAAATAAATAACAAAATACTTAATGAATGCATGCAAATAAAACTACTCAACATGACAAAATAACACAGAAGGCTATAGGTTACTGCAAATCTGAACTATAATTTTAAAAAATCCCAAAACAAATTCTGATGAATGTCAAAGATAACAACTTGTAATGGTAGTTTTAATACTGAAAAATATCTAAAAAAATCCAGAACATTTTAGGAAGGTCATTAATGCCATACTCTATAAAACTATAGGCAAAAATTTCGTCAAAGTTATCAAAGAGAGGGGGCCATTTTTGTTGGAAATATTTATAAAAAGCACTTCCTGGAGAGGAAATTCGAGTAGTTCTCAGTTCTCTCCCTCCCATCCTCTTCCTTCATACGCACACTGTTACATAGTCATTGTTATGCCTAACTACATTAGGATTACCAGAGAAAATTGGGTTGTACTTTGTATTCTCAACAAATTAACTGAACACTGCAGACAATTTGCTAAAAGCTCATTTTCCTATCAGTAGCTAACTTGGAAAAATTAAGAGTAACCACACAGTGGGAAATGTACTTTTCAGGTATTGATACTGTGGCAATATCTACGAATTACTCAGATATGAAAGAATATCTATGAAATAATTTTTTCAAGCCCAATTTTAGTAACATTGGAAAATTAGAAATATAATGAGTGTCATGCTCACAGAGATGTACAATATCCATTTATAAGACTGAAACAGCTAACAAATCCCAGGACCCTTCCCTCTGACATCACAGTATTCTGTTTCAAGGGGTAAAACATTATAATTTAAGTACTCATTCAGTGAATATTTATTGAATGCCTATATGGAACAGACTCTATTCTTGGTACTGAACAAATACATATATATATTTGTATATATACAAATGCTGTTTTTGCATATCATTTAAGGCAAGAAGACAATCAGTTATATGAAGCTCTTGTCAGTGAAGTGAGAATATTCCAATTCCTCAAGGGAGGGATATTTTATTCCTGGAACTTTGCTATGTGAGCAGCTTCTCCCTTAGAGATTCATATTGACAGCAGTTGGAGTGGATATTATACTCACTGTTGAGGATTACATTGTATATCAAGATTCAAAGCTTGTTTCATAAAGCAAGTAAAAAATGGAGTGAAGAAAGATATTATTTTGACAGTTAAGGTCATCTGATCCAACCCTACTGATTAGATAAGGAGACCTAATTTTTTTCTGCCTCCACACCATTCACATTTGGGAGACAGTCATGTGTGTGAGATCTCTCGTTAGAATTTATGACTCTCAACTCGGAGGGGGATAAGAATCTTGGTATGGGGCAGCATGAGGTGGGGAGAGAAGGAACCTGTCAGAATTTCCAGTAACCAGTATATCTGTCTACCTCATTTAAGAGCATTTACACAAAAGCCATAATGGCAGTGACTAATGATAGTTAGTACTCACCATGTATCAGGCACTGTTTGGTTTAAGTGCTTAACTCATTTAATCTTCAAACAACCCTTGATGAAAACCTCGGGCCCAAACTGGTTAAGCGGCTTATCCTAGGTCATGCAGCTAGAAAGTAACAGATCTGGGATTCAAAATCGGGCACAAATACCAGAGACTGTGATGTTAACCACTAAACTATTCTGCTTGTGGTTGCATAAAAATTCACAATGATTAAAAAACATAAATACATATCTATGGTTAAAACATCATTATGCACTTGCTCATTCATGAGTACTTTCATGTTTCTTCATGGCAAGATCAGAAGAATATAATAATATATTTTTGTGAGTAGTCAGCAAGCCCTTGAAGCTTGAGTACCACTGATTCAGATGCCATGGATGAGGTGCACACTTCTGGTTTTACTGATTACTTTCAAGAAGTCTTGCCTCAAACTGGATTCTCATCCTTCAAGTGGTAACACTTATTTTTTGTTCACTTCAACAACTTCAATGATTGTACTGTACTGATTTAAACTTTCACTAGATCTGAAAATATCCACCATAACAATAAAATCAACAATGGGACTCACCCACTTCCTTTGTTTTGACTGGCATCAGTATGCATGGGGTTGCTGAGTGATTACATTCATGGGCCTTGTTCTATGGCATTGTAGAGGCTCCTTAAACTCTCTATGACAGTCCTCTTACCTATAAAATACTGTCAATAATAAAATATGAATATATAAACACTTGGCACAGTACTTGCCACATGTAAATAATCAATTAATGACATGTCAGTTTTATTAACCTGTATGTCTATCAGAAACAGGGTTTTTTTTTGGCTAAGTAAATTTAGTGAGTACCCACTCTTAAAGTACTCCTTAATAAAAAAATAAAAAAATGCTTATATTGAGATTGAATATAAGCATCAATGATTGAAAATAATTTTACTATAAATTTATAATTTATTATCTTATTCATTATTTTTGTACTTTTTTAGCTCATTTTGTAGGTGACAGGATTTTTACATAACACATACCAGTGTACAGGTACACACACACACACACACACACACACACACACACACAAACACACACACACTGAATATGCAGGTAGACCTGTTTGGGCACAGTCTGCATTTCTTTATGCTTGATTTAGTGTGGTGCTCCTTCCCAATTCCTGGAAATTGATAATGTGTTGTTTTTTTTCTTGCCTACTGAAATTTAACTGCACGTCATCATTTTCTTTCAGAACAAAAGTCCCTTCTCTGCTTTCAAAGTTGATAATAAATCTGATGAAAATGTCCCTGTTAATAGTGTGATGACAAAGTACTCCAACACCTATTTCTAGATCAAGATAATACCTAGCAATTCCAGAAATATAAAGAGTGTTCTTGGTAGTCTCCAAGAGATACTGATTTCACATCTATTATATTTTCCAAAACAGTGATTTCAATGGTGGAAATTTAAAGCCAAAAACCAAAACATGGAAATGGTAACAAGGTAGTCTGAAAAAGGCAAGCTGAGGAGATAGTTAGGATTTTCCAGGAATCTCCAATTTGATCTTTATAGTTTCTTTTATTTTAGCAATAATCATATCTTTATACTAATTCAACAAAGGTACTTGATATTCAATTCAGGCATTGGCAATAAAAAAGTTTTTATATTTTTAGCATAAAATGACAGGTGTTTGTAATCACAAAAACACACACACAAAAACCACATGACCAGCATTTATTATGTACCTGTTCAAATATTCATTTTCTGAAAAAGTATCATGTGAATGCTCTCATAAGTTCTTTAGGACTGGCCTCAATCCACAGAAAGTGATAGGAAAGCAATATTCAGTTTCTTCTTTGGGGTCATTTATGCATCTTTCCACTTACTCTCTGCTTTCCCAGATGTCACAGTAGCTGCCACAGAGCTAAATTATGGTGTAATCCCCAGATGTGGCTCCTCCTTGTCTGCTTTCATCTTTAAGGAAAGGTGTATATATGGCCCACTTTTTGTAAATAACAGACATACTATAGATTTCAAATTATATATAAGTTCGCAATGCAGCTGAAATAAGTTTTAAAATGAGTACAACAATATGTTATCAATACAACCATGAACATGGAAATGGTTATTGGGACAAAGAGAAAATAAATTGTGCACTAAGACTACTTACTCCTAATTTTGGTCCTTTAAATATGGGTTAGGGTAAATTTAAAAGGAACCATTTTATGTGTTTCAAATGTATTAAGACTTTCCACCATGGCTCCAATCAGGGTCAAACTGTTAATTCTAAAGTCTATCTTCTAAGAAAAAGAGAAAAGAAAGAAGCTTAATATGACAGACTAGAATAGCTTGTCCTGAACAGTCTAGTATATGTGTGTGTGTGTGTTTATATATATATATGAAAAGACATGAGCCCAGCTGGCGTTGCTCAGTGGTTGAGCATCAACCAATAAAAAGTAGGTCACAGTTCCATTCCTGGTCAGGGCACATGCCTGGGTTGCCAGCTCCATCCGCAGTGTGGGGTATGCAGGAGGCAGCCAATCAGTGATTCTCTCTCATCACTGATGTTTCCATCTCTCTCTCCTCTCCCTTCTTCTCTGAAATCAATAAAAAAAGACATAATAAATTACTATGTGCTTCAGAATATAATACAGCATTGGGCAAAAGTAGGCTTGAATGGAAAGTAATAGAATAATTAATAAATAATAACACAGAAATAAACTTTGCTTTTTGCATACTCACAGTTGTAAACCTTTTTTGGCCCCACCCTCTATATGCCCTGTGGGCAAGGAGCTTACAATCCAATTAAGAAAACAAAAGCAAATAATGAGTTTATTGATTTGTGATGGTAAATATTAAATTACTAGAGGCCCAGTGCACAAAATTCGTGCATGGGTAGGGGCCCTAGGCCTGGCTGGCGATCAGGGCCAATCTGTGGGGCGACCGGTAGGGCAATAAGGGGGGAACCGCTGGCACCCGCCTTTGCCGGCCTAATGCTGCCTGCTCACAGGCCTGCTGCTGACACCTCCCTCTGTGGGGCGACTGGATTGGGGTAATGGCTGGCTTGGGGCCTGTAGGCTGGGTGCAACTCCTGCATTGAGCGTCTACCCCCTGGTGGTCAGTGTGTGTCATAGTGACCGGTCATTCTGCCTATCATTCCACTGTTAGGCTTTTATTATATACGATATGACTCACATTACAAAGACTCTGGATAGCTATCAATATCTTAAGTTTGACATAATCAAGTTAAGTACCATTACATGCAAGATGAAAGTTAATTTCACCTGTATCCTACATTTCTACTCTTCCATTTGTATACCCTCCAACTGTCTTGCCTTTTCACCTTCTATCCTTCTAACACAACTAGATCATCAAAAAAATTTTAAATTCTCCCTCTGTCATTCTGATTTTCCCTTTTATGAACTTCATGATATTTTCTTTTTTAAATATATATATATTTTTTATTTATTTCAGAGAAGAAGGGAGAGAGAATGGAGAGATAGAAACATCAATGATGACAATCATTAATTGGCTGCTTCCTGCACATCCCCAATTGGGGATCGACCTTGCAACCCAGGCATGTGCCCAGGAATTGAACTGTGACCTTCTGATTCATAAGTAGACTCTCAACCAGTGAGCTATGCCAGCGGGTGATATTTTCAATTGAATCTCAAAAATCCACATCCATTATTTCATGATTACGCATCTATTGCATTTATTAGTCTTGCTTCTTCAAATAGATGCAAACTCCTTGAAGGCATCTATGTCTCTATTTTTTTTAGATATAACTAAGAACATCTTACCATGTGTGTGCATGAAATAGAATATCACCATATGTTTTCTCTACATTAATTGAGGAGAGAAGATAGAAGAGTAGCATTTTTGTAGCCTCAACATTTTTCCTTGAGAGTGTGAAGCTTTAAGACACTCATGCTTCAATATTTTATTTTTTCATCTTAGTAGGTGCTCAAAATTCACTCAAATTATTAAAGCTAGATATTTTTAGTTCCTATGAATTATTTCTAAAGTAGAATTATATTTTTGCTGTTATTTGACTAAATGACTTGGCCTGAAGAATATGAGTATAAACAAAAATGACTCACATCCACAAGAATAAACAGGACTCAGTCAATAACCAAGTAGTACCCTAATACCTGCAGGTAATACTGATGGTCATGAAGCAACATTCATAATATGTCACACTTCAATGAAAGTGATTGCAATCAGAATAACATTCAATTTAGTTGGCTCTGTTTAAATGATGACTAAGTCTGACTAAATTTCAAAAGATTTCAGTTGGATGGCCTTAGCAAAGATTGCCACCACCCACATTTTCAAATGTACTAGGACATATTCATGTGGTGTAATATTTTCATTGTATGGCTTTTATTCCATAAATGGTATTTTAATAGAGGACTATTCCATTAGTAAACAGACTGGTCTTGCTGACACATCTTTCCTTTAAAAATATACTTTGGCTGAATTCTAACAAAACCATTTTGAATGCAAAAGGGATGCTTTTCAAGCCAGATGGTTTATCTAATAGGAATGTTTTCTGATTAGAGAAACAGCAGTAGACTCATGATCACAGCAGGTGCCAAACTGATCCTGTAGTTTACATGAATTTGCAACTGAACAAGTCATGAACTAAAGGGAATCTATTTTATAATGTGCCACAGTCTATTCTGAGAAGAAGGGGAAATATAAAAGATGCTGCCATAGCAGATAAAGTTTATATATCATATCATGATATGAATGTGCCATTATTGCATTTGTGGTAACAACATTTATTTGTATGCCACATTTTCTGAGTATATTGTTGATACTACTAACAAAATTTTCTATATATAAAAGCCTAATCAACCATTATGGCGGAATGACCAGAATGAGCAGTCGCTATGATGTGCACTGAGCAGGCAGGCAGGTGAGTGGTTAGGGGTAAGCAGGCAGGCAGGCAGGCAAGTGGTCCCGGATTGCTAGAGGGATGTCTGACTGCTGGTTTAGGCCTGATCCCCACAGGACATCCCCCGAGGGGTCCTGGGTTGCAAGAGGGTGCAGGCCAGGCTGAGGGAATCTCCCATCCCCACCCCCATGCATGAATTTCATGCACCAGGCCTCTAGTAAAATAATAAAAACTTACAGTGCATTATAGGATGGGGTAATAATCAAAAGTTTATTTATTTAAAAATGTATCATGTTTTTTTCTTTCTCATTTTCCTTATTTCTTGTACCTGTATTTTCTATTTTTTTCAAGAAGCATTTTTTTTAAATGTACTAGGAAAGAGGGAGACAGGATATTATTGGTATGATAGGCCCAACTATATCTAAGTATGCATAAAAGTGAGCTTTCTAGGCCCCATGCGAGAATGCAGATTCCAAAATGATAGAATTATTACTTGTTAAGATAATGTAAGTTGCTTTGGGGTACTAGCATGATTATTGGGGACATAAAAGGTTGTGAGCTCACAGACCCACACTCTGACTCAGTTGATCTTATCACCAATGGTTTGCTAAGGTGACAAAACAGAAGCACCTGGGTGATATGTAAAAGTCACAGCATGCTGTTGTATGTCCACACCTACTTTCCTATCTCATTACATCAGCCAGTCTGTTTATTGGCTTCTTTGGAGAAAAGCAAAGTAAAAGGAACCTAGAAATGAGTCCAAGTCATCATTCTCAGTCATCCTCACCCCAGGCAAATTTCATGGTCTGTTCAAAA